CACGTGCACGCTCACGGGCATGCCCGTGCTGTCCTTCATCAGCACCTGGAAGGTCTTGCTCAGGTCTGAGTGCTCCTTCCCGCAGTCCCGCAGCAACAGCTGCCCCATCTGTTCTGTGAACTTGCTGTTGTCGGATTCGGACACCAAGAACGAGCGGATGTCCTCCTGCTTGAGGCTGCGCTGGGGATTCAGGAACAGCATGTCAGCTAGCTCCCGCGAGTGCCTCTGCAGCCTGAACTCCGCGTCGAGATCGACCACCACCTCGCACACGCAGCCGAGCACCGAGGTGGCCGCCCGGAGCTCCTGCCCGGATAACTTGGACTGGAGCTCCAGGCGAACGATGTAAGTCAGGAGGTGGTTAAACACGAAGATCATGCCCACCAAGAGAATCATGTTCTGAAACCCGTCGCTCAATATCTGCTCGAAGCTGTACTCATCACTCTGGAATTCCTCTGCGTTCTCCCCGAACATCAGCGTGTAGGTGGACGAGAAGCATAGCACAAGCAACCATGGGATGTTCACTATCGGCTTCAGATTCCAGAGACATAAGAAAAGGCTCAGAATGTAGATCATGCTCATGCGATAGGCGACCAGGTCTGCACGGATCGCATACGGTGACAGGTACACTACCAGGCAGGCCATCAGCGCAGAGAACCAGTAGTCCAAAGACCTGGCCGTCACGACGCAGACTTGCGCCCATTGCGATGCCCACATGATGGATATCATGCCGCTGAAGACGGAGAGAGCGATGTCCTGCACGATCGACCCGAACCTCTTCACGGAGCCCCCGTCCAGCCCGCTGCGCACGGTGAAGACGAAGAAGTTCGTGAAGACCAGTGCCTGCGCCCAGGGGAGGATCCGCAGGGCGCGCGTCAGCCGCCGGCGCTCCAGCTCCTCGCACAGCGAGGCCTCGCAGGCGCCGTCCTGGCGCGCCCGCCGGCCGCAGGTGGCGCCCGACGCCAGCAAGGAGCCCTCGCAGAGGCGGCGGCCCCGCAGCAGGCCGACGAGCACCACGAGGCAACAGGCGAGGAGGCCGCAGGCGCCGACCATGAACACCACAAAGTCGCGCTGCCTTGAGGCCACGAAGTTGCCCGGCGAGAAATGGGCCATGCTCTCGTCCGGCAGGCCAGCGTGGGGCGCCGGAGGTGAGATTGCCCGAGCCGAGCTTGAGCCAAAATGGCTACGGAACGATATGGCTTTTGGTTTTGGTTGTTCTTCCAGAAGAACTCCCCCTGGGGCTTCGGCCCTTCCCGCCGGTCACCCTGAAAACCCACCTGTCGTTGCCGTTGTTGCCCCAAGATGGCCCAAGAGGGCCTCCCAGACGGCCAAGATGTCCCAGGATGGCCTCCAAGTTGCTCCAAGACGGCCAAGATGACCTCAAAGACAGCTAAGATGGCTCCAAGATGCACCCAAGACAGCCCAAGATGGCCTCAATATGGTCTAAGACGGTCCAAAAGGCCCGCAAGAGGCCTCCAAGACGGCCGAAGAGGTCTCTCAGAGGTCCTCCAAGAAGGCCCGACGAGGCCAAGATTATAATTTTTGTTCTGCAGTTGTTCAAGGGCTCTGGCATTTGCGCATTTTCGGCTTTCCGACGGCCCAAGACGGCCCAAGAGGCTCCCAAGATCGCCCAAGAGGCCCCCAGGAGGGCCCCATGACGGCCCCAGAGGCCTCCCAGACGGCCCCAAGACGGCCCAAAAGGCCTCCAACACGCCCAAGATGGCCTTCAACACGCCCCAGATGGCCTCCAATACACCCAAGATGGCCTTCAAGACGGCCCCGAAGCGCCCCAAGAGGGCCCCAAGTCGGCCCAGAAAGGCCCCCAAGACGGCTTCCGACGGCGTCAGACGTGCCAGGAACCCACCAAGATGGCCGAAGTTGGCTCGAAGCTGGCCCAAGACGGCCCAAGAGGCCCCCAAGAGGGCCCCAAGAGGCCTCCAGCACGCCCAAGACGGCCCCAAGAGGGCCCCAAGAGGGCCCAAGAGGCCTCCAGCACGCCCAAGATGGCCTCCAAGACGCCCAAGATGGCCTCCCAGACGGCCCCGAAGCGCCCCAAGAGGGCCCCTGGTCGGCCCAGAAAGACCCCCAAGACGGCTCCCGACGGCGTCAGACGTGCCAGGAACCCACCAAGATGGCCGAAGTTGGCTCGAAGCTGGCCCAAGACGGCCCAAGAGGCCCCCAAGAGGGCCTCCAGGAAGGCCAGGCGAGTCCAAAAACATTGATTGTCCTAAAGTTTTTGACGGATTCTGCCATGTGCTTATTGTCGGCCTTCCAACGGCCCGAGACGGCCCAAGAGCCACCACAGATCGCCGAAAGATCGCCCAAGAGGCCTCCAAGATGGCCCCAGAACGGCCCAAGAGGGCCCCGAGACGGCCCCAAGAGGCCCCCAAGACGGCACAGGAGGCCTGTAAGGCGCCCAAGATGGCCTCTCCAAGACGGCCCTGGAGCATTCCAAAAGGGCCCCAAGTCGGCCCAGGGAGGCCCCCCCCAGCGGCTTCCGACGGCGTCAGACGGAGCAGGAGCCCACCAAGACGGCCGAAGATGGCCGTAAGATGACCCAAGACGGCCCAAGAGGCCTCCAAGAGGTCCTCCAGGAGGGCCCGAAGAGGCCAAAATCATTGATTTCCATTAAGTTTTTGAAAGGTTTGGAAATTGCGTCTTCTCGGCAATCCGACGGCGCAAGACGGCCCAAGAGGCCCCCAAGATCGCCCAAGAGGCCCCCAGGAGGGCCCCATGACGGTCCAGGTGGCCTCCAAGACGGCCCCAAGAGGGCCCTCAGAGGGCCCAAGAGGCCTCCAGCACGCCCAAGATGGCCTCCAAGACGCCCAAGATGGCCTTCAAGACGGCCCCGAAGCGCTCCAAGAAGGCCCCTAGTCGGCCCAGAAAGGCCCCCAAAACGGCTCCCGACTGCGTCAGACGTGCCAGGAACCCAACAAGATGGCCGAAGAGGCCCAAGACGCCGACGTGCGTGGCACGGCGTCGCCGTGCCAGGCTCGAAGCTGGCCCAAGACGGCCCAAGAGGCCCCCAAGAGGGCCTCCAGGAAGACCAGAAGATGCCAAAAACAGTAATTGTCCTAAGGTGTATGTTTGCCATTTGCGTGTTATCTGCCTTCCGACGGCCCGAGATGGCCCAAGTGCACCCAAAGATCGCCGAACGATCGCCCAAGAGGCCTCCAAGATGGCCCCAGAACGGCCCAAGAGGGCCCCAAGACGGCCCAAGAGGTCCCCAGGACGGCACAGGAAGCCTGTAAGGCGCCCAAGATGGTCTCCAAGACGACCCTGGAGCATCCCCAGAGGGCCCCAAGTCGGCCCATAGAGGCCCCCCAAACGGCTTCCGACGGCGTCAGGCGGACCAGGAGCCCACCAAGACGGCCGATCATGGCCCTAAGATGGCCCAAGAGGCCTCCAGCAGGGCCTCCAGGAAGGCCCGAAAAGGCCAAAATCATTGAACCATGGGTTTTTGAAGGATTGTGGCATTTGCTTGTTGTCTGCCTTCCGACGGCCCGGAACGGCCCAAGTGCCCCCCAAAAGATCGCCCAAGATGCCTCAGACACGCCCCAAGAGGCCCCCAAGACGGCCCAAGAGGTCTCCAAGACGCTCAAGATGGCCTCCAAGACGGCCCAATAGCCCTCCAAGACGTCCTCCAAGAAGGCCCAGAAGGGTCAAAATGGCCTCCAGATGGCCAAGATGACCTTCAAGATGCCCACGTGTTCCCCGAAGGCTTTCCAAACCGACCCACCACCAGCGACCTCTCGGGACCCGAGAAGTGTGCGGTGACGGACCGTGCGGTGACTTCGACATCATCGAATACGGTTTGGGGACCCTGGAAGACCAAGGTCGCCCAAAACGTCCTCCGCGAACGACCCAAGTCCGAACACCGTGAAGGTCACCCCGAATCCGCACTGACTTCACAGTGGGTGTGGTCACCACAGTGTGGTCACCACACCGTCTGGGACCCCACTGACGGTCGGGCCACAACTCGGCTCCCTGGCGGCCGCTCGGGACGATTCGGGCACCCCTGGAAACCCCTCGAAGAGGCGCAACTGATGGAAATCACCCCGGGCTTTGGGAAACATTCTAAAAATCAGACAACATGAACATGCGAAAACGTGCGAGAGCCTATCCCCCCCTCCCGAGAGATGCGAATCATTGATCTGTCAATATGCGCTTCCCGGAGGTCCCGACCCGTTCCCTAAGTACTTTGTTGGCGGTCTCGGGGCCTGGCGAAGGCCGATGGAAGTTAGAGATCCCAGAGAAGGGCGATACCAAAACCTGCGGATACCGCCACTCCCCGAACCTCTCCCAGGGTGCGTTCTGACCAGAGCTTCGAAGCGCATCCAGCCTTGGCGACGGCGGCCTCCCGAGATGCCCCAGAAGACGAAAACAAGGGAGGGGCAGCGGTACCCGTACCTCTTCTCCTCCTCCGACACGCTCAGGGACTTCTGGATAGCGTATCGCCCTGGCGGCCCTGGCGACACGCTACGCCTTGCGAATGGATAGCCTGTCGTTCCGCTCCGCGTGGCGGGTGGCTCGGGAAAGCTCGGCACTGCGCCGTGGATACCGTGTCGTGCCGAGGCGTGGTGAGATAAGAGTGTTTCCCGACTCGCAAAAGTAACCGCTCGCCAATGGCCTGGACCCGTCGCGGGGGACTCGAGGTCCACTACGCCGAGGGGAACATGTTTTTTTTCCATGACGCTTGCGAGCAGGCATCCCTGAGACGCCCTCGGTGAGTGGTGGGCCAGAACTGGCGGAGCGACGCGCTATCCTAAGGGAACAAAAAATGGCATAAACATAAAAACTCTGAGGTCCGCGCGGATTTCTCGGATCGGCGCTGGACCCCCCTCCCTGGCGCGCGGAGCGCGCCAGGGGCGGCGCCGGAGGCGCCGCCGGGGGGCCCCAGCGCCGATGCGAGAACCCGCGCGGACCTCTGAGTTTTTTGTTATGTTCATGCCACTCTTTGTTCCCCCATATCCAAGAGTGGCCACGATGCGGACCCCGGCGACCTGCGGGTCCACGAAGACGCGCTCGCCGGAGCCGTCCGCCCGGAGCCGCAGCGAGACCCTCGGCGCGGGGGCGCCCCCTGGCGCCCCCGCGGCCAGGCGCGGCGCCAAGGCCGCGCTGGCAGCGCAGGCCCCGAGCGCCCGCCAGCCGCGCGCGAGGCGCCGCGACGGCCCGGATCTCCGACGGTGACTCTCTCGCGTCCTCCTCCTCCTCCTCCTCCTCCTCCTCCTCCTCGTCCTCGTCCTCGTCTTCGCCCTCGTCCTCCTCCTCCTCCTCCGCCTCCTCCTCCTCCTTCTCCTCCTCCCCCTCCGCCTCCTCGGCCTCGGGGACCCTCCTCCCCCGTCCTGTTCCTCCTCCTCCTCCTCGTCCTCCTCCTTTCTCCTCGTTTTCCTCCTCCTTTTCCTCCTCCTTTTCCTCCTCCTCCTCCTCCTCCTCCTCCTCCTCCTCGAGGGGCCCTCCCCTCCCACGTCCTCGCTGTCGACGCCGCCGACGTACCTGTCCCCAGGACTGGCAGGCACGCTGACGTCAGACGCCGTCGACAACGACGCGTGCGACCTCTCGCGTTCCCAGCGGGAACGTCTTCGGGCCCCGGACGTCGTCCCGGGGGCACCCCCGTGGCCACGGCTGGAGCCGCCTCGAGGTCCTGGCCAGGGCGCGCCCCATGCACCTCCTCCTCCTCCTCCTCCTCCTCCTCCTGCCGAGTTCTTTTTCAAGACCATTGTTTCTGCCTGTGGGCTCCGTGATCAGGCCCAGGGCCCAGCAGAAGCGGACCCGGGACGCACAGCTGACCCCAGGGGAAAGAGTGGTGGACCCTCTGGTGGGAGCATGGACGATCGGCACAACCACAACCAGGGACCACCAGCGTGAGGAGCCAGGGGGGGGGGGTCCCCCTGGTGGTGTGGCCCCCGCCTCTCGCTCGAGACACCCCCTATATCTCTATCTCGGGGAGGTATCGTGGAACCCCTCATGGAGGTGAATCCCCTGGCCCACGACCCCAGAAGTCATGTTCCACAACGTCGACCACCAGAGCTCTCGCCCCCTTCCCCGGGACAGGCTCTTCATCCCGAGTCGTCTTGTTGACGGTTCCAGGGCCCACCCAGGGCCCCCAGAGGCCGGCAATAGCGAAGAGCCGCATGTCGTGATGTTTTCCTGACTCGAGGGCGGTTTGGGGTGGTGGTGTCGCTCCGCCTCCATGTCGCCCCCGCCATGGTCGGCATCGTCGTAATCGTTGTCGTCACCCTCGTCGCCTTCGTCGTCGTCGCCGCCATCGCTCCCGTCGCCGTTGTCGCCGTCGCCGTCGCCACCCCGCCTTCGGCCTACGCGGCGAATAGAAAAACATGCCGTGCTTCGCCCCCGGACCCGTCACGACCCACAATCGCCGACTCATCGCAGACAGGGGCCTCGAGCTGGAAGCGGCGATACGCGACCGACAGATCGGCCATGGGCCCCCGATAGCGAAGCCCCGCAAGTTCCTGGGCTGGGTGAGCCATCGTGCCCCTGCCTGCGATGCATCTGATGGGCCTGTGTTCCACCACCACCACCACCACACGTTGGAGGGGGGAAGGAGGACGAGGAGGAGGAGAAGCAGGAGGAGGAGGAGGAGGAGGAGGAGGAGATGGAGGAGGACCCCCTCCCGCTCCAAGTTATGGTGGTGGTGGTGGAAAACAGGCCCATCAGCATCGGCGATTCTGGGCCGATGCCTTTCCCCCTCGTTCTGGAACCCCCGACCTGGCGCCGCGCCCCCGGGCCCAGGAGCGTACGGCTTCGCTGTCGGGGTCCTGTCGCCAATCTGTGTCGCCACGCGTCGCCGACTCCAGCTCGACTGCCCCCCGCCTGCGATGCATCGGCCACTGCGGGCCGATGCCTGCCCCCCTGGGTTCCGCCCCCGATGTGCAGCCGAGCCTTAGGTCGGGCATGTCCCCCTACACGCGGAGCTTGGACGAAACATGCAACATGCGGACCAACGTGCCCACGAGATGCCCAAAGATACCCAGCACATCGTCCCCAGACTGCTTCTTTAACGATGTTTCAATATCCCTCCTGCAGAGGGACAGGCCCGACTGAAGCCGAGCGCTGGAAAAAGTCATCCCGTCGGGCGTCTGGAGAGACGCGCGGGCGCGGGCCGCCCCGGCGGGCGCGCGCCGCCGCGCCGCCGCCGCCGCCCATGGCGGCAGGCCCCTTCAAGCGGGCGCGGCGGGCTCGCGCGGGGGCCGCGGGCAGCTCGATGGGGGCAGGCGGGGAGCGACAGGCGGAGAGGAGGAGCTGGAGAGGCGGGCGAGGAGCGGCAAACTGGCCCAGGAGGCCCCAGGATGGGGGGGGGCAGGCGGGGAGGCGGGGAGGAGGAGTCAGGGGGGAAGGGGTGCCAAAACCGCGCGTGGAGGCCCCACGGGGTCGGAGTAGATGCCGATGGGGTCGGAGGATCGCGCCGCATCGCCGCTGCATCGGCGACGCATACCCAGCGCACCGGCGATGCACTCGAGGGGGCAGCGCGGGCGGCATGTCAGCGTGAGGGGGCGTTGAACCCTAGCTACCGAACAACAATTGTTGTTGATCCCCCCTGCCGCGCACAATGGATGTTTCACTTGAAGTGCCCCTCCCGCGGCTCGCACCCTATTCTTTATCAGGGAAAGGCCCTCACAAGTTATCCCGAGACACCATGGCCAGAGAGGCTCCTGAACTCAGGAGCGGCGCTCTCGCACGAGACTCCCTCGCAACTCAATCCAAATGGCAGGGACCCAACTACGACGACAACAACTCCCGCTCGACACTTCCTCACAATTTGCCCCGCGACGCCCTGGCCAGAGAGGCCTCTGAACTCAGGAACGGCGCTCTCGCTCTGGACCTCCTCGCAACTCGATGAAGTTGGCGGAGCCCCAACTACGAAGACAAGGGCTCGCGCCCGACACGTCCTCACGATTTACTCCGAGAGGCCTTGGCCAGAGAGGCTCCCCAACTCAGGAACGGCGGCATCGCTCGACACCTCTTCGTAATTCAGCCAAGCAGGCCCAACTACGACGACAAGGGCTCCCGCGCGATGCTCCCTTACGATGTACTCCGAGAGGCCCTGGCCAGAGAGGCCCCCCGAACTGAGGAGCGGCGCTCCGGCTGGAGACTCCCTGGCGACTCGATCGGATTGCTCTAGGCCCGCTCTCGCCCCGGCATTGGCCGCGCCTCCCTTGCGAACTCAACTCGCGCTCGAGCGTTTCGGGGAACCGTCGATACGCCCCCCCCAACAACAAGGATGCCGCCGAGACCCCACTTTCCAACAAAACCGGCCCTCCCGCTCGACACTGCACCGCTTTTTGGCTCAGTGAAGGGGCCCCAGGACACGCAAATAAATACACACCAATAAAAAGATCACCCATATTGTCCCATATTTTCTGAACTCCTGTCTTCCCCCCCACCTCCCATATTGTCCCATATTTTCTGGGGAATCGACGATTAATTGTGTCTGTGTGTTTCTTTCCCTCCTGACTCAGGCACCGGCGCCCCGGCCTCGGAGCCGCAAAGTGGCTTCCGCTACAGGCAGCGACGCTCCCGCTCGATACATCCCCCCCGGCGTGTCAAGGAGGAGGAGGAGGAGGAGGAAGGGGAGGAGGACGAGGAAAAGTAGGATAAAGGAGTAGGAGGAGGAGGACGAGGAGGAGGAGGAACAGGATGAGGAGGAGGAGGAGCAGGATGAGGAGGAGGGGGTTCCGTGGCTGACCCGTGCGGAGGCGCGGGGGACGCCCGCGGCGGCGACACCGTAGTCGTCGTCGTTGTCGTCGTCGTCGTCGCCGCCGCCGCCGCCGCCGCCGCCGTCGTCGTCGTCGTCGTCGTCGTCGTCGTCGTCGTCGTCGTCGTCGGCGGCGGCGGCGGCGGCGTCGCCGTCGTCGTCGTCGCGCGTCGTCGTCGTCGTCGTCGTCGTCGTCGTCGTCATCGTCATCCTTCTCCCCCTCCTCCTCTCCTCCTCCTCCTCCCTCCTCCTCCTCCTCCTCCTCCTCCTCCTCCTCCTACTCCTCCTCCTCGTTCTCCTCCTCCTCATCCTTCTCCACCTCTTCGTCCTCCTCCTCGTCCTCCTCCTTCCTCCCCTTCCTCCTCGTTCGTCGTCGTCATGGCCACCGTCAAAGTCATCGTCGTCGTCGTTTTCGTTGCGTTGCCGTCAACGTCGTCCTCCTCCTCCGCCTCCTCCTTCTCCTACACGTCCAACTCCCTTTCCTCCTCCTTCTCATCCTCTTCCTGCTCCTCCTCCTCCTCCTCATCCTGCTCCTCCTCCTCCTCCTCCTCATCCTGCTCCTCCTCCTCCTCCTCGTCCTCCTCCTACTCCTTTATCCTACTTTTCCTCGTCCTCATCCCCTTCCTCCTCCTCCTCCTCCTCCTCCTCCTCCTCCTCCTCGTCATCCTCCTCATTCCCTGTCTTCCCTCCTCATTCCTCCTCATCTTCCCCTTTATCCCCCTCCTCCTCCTCCTCCTCCTCTTCGTCATTTTTCCATCTTCTTGGCATCACAAGTAGTAGCATGATCTTTAGTGTTGGCCTCCAGATTACCAGTGGTATTGCTCAGGTATGATGATGTGTCGTGTTCTTCTTCGTCGAATCCTCATGTTGTTGCTTTTAGTGTTGCTTATGTATGTTAGTGTTCTTTTAATCGTAGGGAATGTATTATCTTGAATCGTCTCGATATTCTTCTTAACCGTCAGAATATTATGTGTCGTGGTGTTGATCGCCTTCGCCGTACGAGGGCTAGTTATATCGGTATCACTCTTCTTCTTCATATGATTCGTCACCGTTGCTATTCATATTCGTCCTCCTCCTCCCCCGCCTCCCTTTCCCTCTTCCTCTACCTTTCCCCGAAGCCCAACAGTACCTTCGACCTGGGTTTTTGTCACACATGCTCTGAAGCATCCTTCAAGAGGCCCCGAAGCCTTCCAGATCAGCTTCGAAGCGTCTCCCGGGGGCCTGCAAACTCCCGACAAGGACTCCGAAGTTCCATTTGAAAACCTTTGGAGGGTTTCAAAGGAGCCCCGGAGGCTCTCCTAGGGGCTCGGGGTGCTCTCCCGAAGGTCGCGGGGCCTTCCCCAAACGGTTTTACGCCACCTGAGCGTGGTGACGCCTAGAAGCAAGGCGTGGGCAGGGCGATTGCGAGTGCGATGTGCCATCCAGACTGGGGATGTTGAAGCGTCTCGGAAAAAAAAGGTGTCGTCAAAAACCTCATCAGATGGAAGATTCGGGAAGGGAACCTCGGACCCCCCCTATGCAAACAAAAACTCCCATGAAGTGGGGATATAATGATGGATACATGCTGCCTGCAGAATGATAGAACACTCGGGCAAACTGATCGACATGTATGTTGCTGTCGTCATCCCACTAGCGACCCAGCACGCGACCCACCCGCGACCCGCCCGCGACCCGCCCGCGGCTCATCCGCGACCCACCCGCGACCAACCCGCGGCCCACCCGCGACCCACCCGCGACCCACCCCGCGACCCACCCGCGACCCACCCGCGACCCACCCCGCGACCCACCCCGCGACCCGGCCGCGACCTACCAAGCGCCCGCCCCCTAACTATTATCCTCAACTGCGAGATGCTGCACAGACAGAGACGGACATTGAAACGGGAAATGGAGCGGCAAGCTGGCCGAGGAAGATCCGAGAGGGAGGAGGAGGGACGAAGGGGTCCCAACACCGTGCGGTGACGGACCGCATGTCGACCTCGAAATCTCAGGAGACCTCACCGTGCGGTTCCTCACCGTGGGGTCAGGAGGACTAGCGAGCTGAAGGAACATGAGCCGGGGGAGGAGCTGGGAGATGGAGTTGTCGCCGCCGTCACCAGTGCCGTCGTCGTTGTCGCCGTCATCGTTGCCCCAGGCCCAGATATCATCCGATGGTGCAATGTTTCCAGGAACGTGCGGCCCCAGGGCTCCCGACCCGTTCCCTGGGGATGGCTCTGCGCCCCACATCCACTCCGCATGGCCCCGGGCGACCCGACGACGCCCCCGGGAGGCCGAGACCGAGGCGAGAGACGCCATGATTGTAACAGTCCTCGCTTGAGAGAGCTGCGGGCCGCTGTCGTCGCGCGCACACGGCGCGCGCACACGGCGGCCCCGCGGCGGCCTCGTGACGGGCGCCGTGTCCGGCTCCGCGGCCATTTGGCGCGCGGTGGCGCCGCGGCTCGGCAGGCTTTCGCCGCCAGGGCTTCGGCCTCGGCGCAGGCACGGGCGGGGGAAGGGCAAGATCAGGCGGGGGAGGGCGAGGAGGACGGAGGAGAAGCGCGAGGGCGGAGGACCGAGGCGAACGAGGAGGAATGTTCCTGGAACGTTTTGTCAAGCATGGTTTTCCAAAGAGAAAGAGAGAGAGAGAGAGAGAGAGAAGGTGGGGGAGGGAACGGAATGGGCGCGATTCGCATCCTAGCGCTCCCAACCCCAAGAGGGCGAGCGCCCCCATTGGCTCTCACACTCCCGCCGCACGGCGGGATGGTGAGGGCCAGGAAGACGAGGACGGGGGGCGAGAGACCGCGGAGGGGGACCGAGGAGAACTAAAGGGGCCCTGGGACACACAAATAAATACACACAAATAAAATGATTTACCATATTTTCCCATATTTTCTGGGTTTTTGTCTTCGCCCCCACTTCCCATACTTTCGCACATTTTCTGGGAATCGACGAATCATTGTGTCTGTGTGTTTTTTCCCCTCTTGGAGAACGAGGAGTCGGAGACGCGGCGAAGGAGAATAAGGGAAAAAGGTGTGCCCTGTTGTGGCCGCTCCCTGTGCTCTGCCACGTCGGAATCCATCCGCTGCTGCTGGACGGCTGGCTTCCGTTCCCCCTCCTCCCTCCTCCCTTTCCCCTCCCTCCCTCTCCTCCGTTCCCCTCTTCCCTTTCCCCTCCTTTTATCCTGTCTCTCCTCTCCCTCTCCGCCGCCCTGGATTCTAACTCCCATGTGATCCGTGCCAACTGGAGGTCGATTCCTTCTCTTCCTTCTCATTCAATCCCCGCCTACATTCCGTCCTCCCATGGAATACAACCAACACGTTGCCCAAGCCGCCGCTCCGATGTTGTTGTGGTTTTGTATGTGTACCGCTATGTGTGAGTGTGGTTGTGTATGTATGTGCTTCTCTATCAGGTGTATAAATAAATATGTATATGTGTGTGGATGCTCTTTCCGCCAGCGCACTCACTCTGTCTTGTCGCCGACGCAAAACAAGTGTTGTGTTTGCCCTCGCTCTCTCCCTCTCTCTCTCTCTCTTTTGCTCCCCCTCTCACTCCTTTTTCTTTACGTTTAGCTCCCTCTCGCTCTCTCTCGCTCTCCCTCTCTCTGTCTGTCTCTCTCTCTCTCTCTCTTTTCAGCCAGAGTGGATCCTAAATTTGCGCCCCTAACAATATATGTGGTGCAGTCGACATTGTGCCACTTCTGCTGTGCAATAAATGTCGCGCGTTCTGTGTTGTGCAATCGGTCGTGCGTCTTCGCAGTTTATTCACACGCTGCGCCCTCGACAACGCTCTCGATGCGGATGTCTCACGATAAATTTGGGAACCGTGCTACCGCTCGAAACTTCAAGGCGATTCATGCAGGGCGCACGCTTCAGCAACCCGCCTGCCTCTTGCCCCGTCCTTCCATCAGTCCTCTCTTCCCCTTCCTTAGAAGCTGCCCGAAATACACGTTGCAGGAAAGACAGATATACCCCCGAGGGGGTATGATCGGAGACGAAGAGGGCGGGTATCGAGGGTTTGAGATATACGTTTTGAATGGCATGCGAACAGGTAAGAACGACCAGTCTGAAAATGATAGTTGTTGAATTCATATCTACAAAATTAATGTTGTTGATCCCCCTCCTCGGGTATCCATTGCATTTTCAGTTAATATGCTCCTTCCGGAGACCGCACCCTGTTTTTACAAAGCACAATGTGGGGTCGCCAATTTGCGGCCGTGGCACCCGGCGTACAACAACAACACCACACCACCAACAATCACAACAATTACAACCATAACAACTAGAACAACTAGACCAGCAATAACAACAAACACACCAACAACGACAATAACAACGGCTCCCGCCTGATAAGCCCCAACACGTTCTTGTCAAATTGCGTTTTCGCGCTGGCTTTACCCACAATGTACAAGGGAATCGCGCACTCACGTAGGACATCCTCGCAATGTATTCAGACGCCGCGCCCTCGACACTCCCATTGCCCCTTCTGTCCAGCCGTGCCATCTTCCCCTGCCTTAAGGGCTACACGAAATACACGTAGCATGTAAGAAAGATATACGAAGACGAGGAGGGCGGGTATCGAAGGTTTGGGATGTAGACGTGTTGGGTTGCACGCGACCAGATAAGGGCGAAAAGTCTGAAACTGATTGGCGCTGTTGCCGTTGTCGTTGTCGTTGTTGTTGTTATTGTTGGTGGTGGAGGCGGTGGTGGTGGTCGTGCGTTCTTGTTTGTACGTTTCAAACGCAAGCGTTGGCCCCCTGCTTACCACAACAACGGCTCCCGCTTGATACTTCGCCAGAGTGTATTCAAAGTCGCGTTCTCGCGCGGATGTTCGCCGCACTCCTCCATAAAAGCAACGATCTTGTGGTACTTCGTCGCAATGTATCGCGACGCCGCGGCCACGACACTCAGGAATCACGCCCTCGCTCTGAACTTCCTCACGAGCTACATCGCGTTATCGCTCGCGCCATCGCTCGCGCGTTCGCTCGAGCTATATCGCGCGATCGTTAACGAGTCACGTTGGACGGACGTTGAACGACCCGCCCGCTCGGCCCGACCGCCCGGGCCCGCCCGCCCGACCCGCCCAGTAGGGTCCGCCCGCCCGACCTGTCCGTATGACTCTGCCAGAGGTGGTCCTGCTGCTCACCCCCCATGGTAAACTCTACCGCGCTCCAGCCCTTCTCCCTCTCCCGTCTCTTCCCTCCTCTCTCCCATCCCCTGTTCTAGGGGCAATCCCGACGCTTGAACACCGCCAGCATCCGACGAAGACGCCCGAAAACGTCTAGGGCGCCGAAGACGTCGAGGTCGTCGAGGAGGGCTTTTGCCGCCTCGGCTCGAGCAATGAGCCCTGCCTCAAATCGTGGGTGCACCACCACGCCTGCGCACCCGTGGCGTGTTTGGTCACAAGCGTGTAGGCCTCGGTCCACCACAGGCCACCGCGGGCACTGTCGCTCGCCGGCGTGCATGCACCTCTGCTCGGCGGTATGTCGCGCGACGTTGCGGGCACAGTCATCACCGAGCTGGGAACACGGATCGGATAGGCACGTGCATCGAGTCGGGCCGCACCTGCCAGGAGTCGGAATCGAATCGAATCCGCGGCGCCAGGATGCACAACCACGCCGTTTGGAGGTCTGGAAATTGGCACCAACACCAGCACAGGGGTTGCCTCCACATGGGAAAAATGATCCTAGATTTCGGTGTTGGTGGTAATAGTTCGGTCACCTTGGACACCAAAATATTACCACCATCACCGAGATCGGGATCGTCTTCCCTCGGTGGAGGCACACCGCCGATCTTGGTTTGGTGTCAACCTCTATGCCTGCGAGCCGTGGAAGCGTCGGACCAACGGACCGCATCGAAATCGGGCGGGCCAAAGCTGATATGTCGCGGCGGGTGGATCGGATCGAAGCGGGCCTTGCGCTGCCTGGGGCACCCGCCCCACGGCCCCGCCCGGCACGGTCGCTCGGCGGCCAAGGGCGCCAAAAAATCTCGATCCGAGGACGACGCCCACGCCGACATGGACGTCGACGTCGTCGACGGCGACGACGATCTGGACGCCCAAGATCGGTACGGAGAGAACGGGCACAATACCCAACAGCAAAAGATGTCCCGAACCAACAGCGGCCACCGTTGGGCAAGCGGCCTTTTGTCTCGAATGGACACGGGGCGGCGCGGACAGCGAGTCCTGTTCACGATGAGCAGGAACTGCTGTTGGGCATTGTACCCTTTCATTCCGTACCCATTTCGGGCGTCCAGATGTCACTGGGAACCGACGAAAACTGCCGAAAGCCTCGAACCTCGAACACGAAACGTCCCTGAAGCCCACGAGGGCATCCCCAACCTCCTCCTCCTCCTCCTCCTCCTCCTCCTTTCGTTCGTGCAGAGACGAAGAAATCGCGGCGACCCCCCGCCCCGCCCCGCCCGGCGGCGGACCCCTTCTCGGGAACGCCCAGCGGCCTCTGGCCTGCGGCGCGCCCCTCTCGAGCCGAGCGGCGGCGCTGCGCGGGGGCGGGGGCGCGGTGAACCCTGGAGAGGACTTGCCGCGAGGAACATAGTCCATCAAAGAATTGTCGCTCTCATTGGGCAGGAAAGTGAAGGCATCAAAACCCCATGGCGATTTCCACATCAAAAAGCCCATCAACCCCAGAAGCCCTCAGTAGGCCCGGATGGAACATCCAAGGACTTGCTGTCTAAGACGAGCCGACAGGCCTTGCCATCACAGCGACCCATCAATCATCAACGCCGGAACCATCCCCACCACCAATTGGGCAGGGCAAGTTGGCCCTGCCAGCGCGCCCCCTCCAGGTGAGGATAGCTGCTCCGAAACCCGTCGGAGACTGTACCCATCCACGCCTCAGGGGGGCCGATTGCTTAGCGGGCAAAGGTTCCCCGGTGGGGGTGGGGATTCTTTGCCTCGTCCAGTACCAGAACAGATCGCCGACCAGCCCTCCTCCAAACTTGGCGACTCCGAGTTGCAACCCGCACGCGGCCGGGGGGAACGCGAAGACCTCGACAAAGATCTCCGTCGCGACCCGGGGCGGCCCGACGAGGGCAACGCGGTGCCCACCACGCCCCAACGACGAAGGTCGCGAATCACACCCGGCGATCGACAGGTTCGTATCGTGCCGACTTCGGCGCTGGTTCTTGACACGACGACGCCGCCGCTGCCGCCGACGACGACGAGGAGAGGGGAGAAGGATGAGGAGGAGGAGGAGGAGGACGACGAGATGGAGGAGGAGCAGAAGGAGACGCAAATTTGTCCCTGGCTCAGAGAGATAGGAGGGACAATCAGAACTAAACTCTTGTAGACGTCAGCGGAAATAGTAGAAGTAGTAAAAATAGTCGTAACTGCAGTGCCAGTAGTAGTCGTAGTCGTGGTCGTAGTCGTGGTCGTAGTAGTAGTAGTAGTAGTAGTAGTAGTCGTAGTAGTAGTAGTAGTAGTAGTAGTAGTAGTAGTAGTAGTAGTAGTAGTAGTCGTAGTAGTCGTAGTAGTAGTAGTAG